AAAAACTGACTTCAGATTCGCAGTAGGCAACTCCAAGAACTCTTGTATACGAAGTTTAATAAAGTGTAAAGGTTCACAAGGCAACATATCATTGATCGATTCAGTATAGGACTTGTTTTCCCCATAGAAACCGTAAATGACTCGGAAAACGCTTCATTTTTTCATGGCGCAAACCCATTTCGGAATGTGAACTCTTACACAATTGCCGAGAATTTATTTTTTTTACTGCTAAAATATTTACTCTCATAGTAAGTATTCAAAATCGTTCGGAACAAATTTAACTTTTTTCGACCCATACATCCTGATACGGTTTAATGAGTTTTTTGGGCATTGAAATTTTTGTTAAGTTTGAAGGTTTTATTTTAAATCATATTTATTTATGAAAAAAAATTTTTGAAAATTTTTTTCCTAAAGGGCATCAGTTAGTTTTAATCGAGTACAATATATTAAATATACTAAAAGCTTTTAATGCTAAAACTAAAAGCACTTGCACATAAAACAAAATCGGTCTACCAAACAGTGTTGCCAAGGAAATCTAGACAAACGTTAAAATTTTGCATATTTTTTTATCAGACACACACACACTCACACATACAAATAACACAGCCGGTCAGTGTTGGTAACGAACACTTTAAGCGCCACTTTACTATCGGCACGCGAACTAACAGCATGGGTTTGGCAATAAGCCGCCGCATACAGGGGAGGATGAGTAATACACTAACAAAGTCACTCCCAAAAAAAAATTTAACAACGCTACTCCTATGCGGCTAAGACGAAAACAACCTTGCACAAAAGCATACGGCGACAGTAAACAAAACGCAATCGACGCGAACTTACGCGATTTTGTGCGAAACCGAAGACACGGACGGAATGAAAGTGAAAATTAGGAAAATGTGTGTATGAAATAAGAAATTTTTTGAATAATTAGTGAAATTAAAAGTTTATTAAATGAAAGATTAAAGTGAATAGAAAAAAAAATTTGTTGTTGCAAGTGAATTTAAGTAGCAAATCTTAAGGGAAGAAAGCAGCTTGGGAATGCTTTTTATACGCAAAAAGGTGAGACGCCCAGACAGCCATTGAATCGTCTGCTTGAAGCGGCTCCCACGCTCTCAAACTATTTGTTTTTTTTTGTGCTTTTGCAAGGAAAACTCTGAAGTGTTGTCTACTAACAGTCTAAGTAATTGGTACGAGAATACTTTATGGCTCAACGCCAAGTTTTTTTGTATAAAGCAAATTGTTTTGTTCACATCTAATCAATTGCAGGCGTAACGCTTTCTGCCGGCTCGATATTGATGAGCTGTATGTATTTGCTTTACTTAGTATTCGTTTACTTTCATTCATATCAAATTTTTTGTTTTTGTTGTTTTAGACACTCCGCCTTTCGTCGCCAAATAAAATACGTCATCATTTCATATTCACTCACCCTGCCCAACGTAAAACTATCACTGTCTGCCATGTCAAACAAAAGTAATCATTATCTATTATTAAATAATTCAACCGAAAGTGAATTCTACTCTTGACCTATGCCAATCGTCAATTTCTATGCTGATTACATTCACTGATAGTTGCATAGAAATGCTTGCAATTCGAAAAATTCCTAATGAGTTGCAATATTCAAATATTCTGTACACTGCTTTGGCATGCAATGTAAATTCGGTTGCTACGCTTTTGCAAACATTTTTTTTTTTTTATTTGTAAAAAACTGAAAGCTTCGTTTTTGCCCCTTTTCTGCATTTCTTCCGCTCTCGGCTAGTCGCATGCCAATTTTCTGTCTGTTGTGGCTTAGCACTTTTCCATAGTGTCTGCTGTTTTTTTCTTTTTGATGTCCCCGTTTTACCGCACCTTGATTTCTCGATCGATGTTTGTCCTCATTTATTCTACACAAACACACCCATAAGCCACACATTCATAAATAATGAGCACGTATGGGGATGTACACATGTATGACCATATACATACATACATACATATATAATTGTATTATGCAGAGCTCCCATTTTCATTTGCTTTAGCTTTACGTACGTTGATTTATTCAAATATTGATAAGATGTCATGACATTGCTGGCTGGTGAATAGGAAAATGCTATTCAAGTAATTTATTTTTAACACGCTATCATTTGGAAATAATTATATTTCCTGGAACACGAAAAAACTTAAAATGTTAGGTCATGTTGGGGTTTCTTTGCGACGAGTAGAACAACAAAAAGTTATATATATACATACTGAAAACTCATATTATTTATTCATTTGTTTCTATAAAAAAAAAAATTTATAATAAATGTTATTCAGAAAATGCCAATTCAAACAAGTGTGTGCGGAGGGGGCGTATGAGTAACTTTCGCGGTTAAGAATTTAGCTCTAACTGGTTTGAAGACGAGTAGTGTTAAATGAGTCTAAAAGTGGTGTTTTATTAATCCTCTCAGCACCAGAAGCCTATAATAAAAAAAAACTCTATGCTCTTAATCGAGGACTAAATAAACAATTTTTGATATAAAAAAGAGTACATATTAAGTTGGCGTCGCTAAACTGTTTTCTCAGCGCAAGGAATTCACTGATATATATGATACTATTCGATTGCAAACATCTATAAAGAAAATCGTTTCAAGTCTTACAGGAAAAAAACTGTATTTAAAGAGTTTTTGAGGCGAAATTTCTTTAGCGGCGGTTGGTTGGTTGGGAGTGAATTGGCAAATTCAACGAAAATTGCACGCGGAAATGGTGCATCGGAAATGGTTGAGGCTTCCTGAGTGGATGCACATGGTATTGATTTAAAATAAAAAAACTTACTAATAAAAGGCTAAAGAATAACACTTAGAAAAAACCAATACAAGAATAAACGTTAAGGTGTACATAGATAAAGAAAAGGATAAAGGCAAAGGTAAAAATAATAACAAAAACAAAGATGCGTAAGGATGAAGAAAAACTGAAGATCAAGGTAAATTTAAACACTTTGCTTATATAAGGGCAAAGATGAAGATAGAGGAGGAAAGATTATAATAAAGGTGAATATAGAGAAGGGGATAATAGATAGAGAAAAAGAGACTCAATGTGGGAGCTATTTTCAGATTTTAGAGATTCTAGGGACTTATCGTTATAATAATCGATATTTTTATCGGTTTTGTTATCGATATTTTTAACGATTTTGTTATCGAAATTTTTAACGATTTCGCTATCGATATTTTTATCGATACTTTTATTGGTTTTGTTATCGATATCTTTAACGAATTCGTTATCGATTTTTTATCGATTTTGTTATCGTTTTTTATCGATTATTTATCGATGTTTTATTAACTTTTTTGTCGATGTTGTATCGAGTTTGATATCGATTTTGTTATCGATTTGGATACCGACTACTTATCGATTTTTGGTAAATCTTGTTATCGATTATTATTTCATTATCGATTTTGTCATCGATCATTTACCGATTTTGTTATCGAATATCTATGGATTTTGTCGATTCGATAATCGATTTTGCTACGAATATTATTATAGATTTTGCTATCGAAATATTTATCGAATTTGTCATCGATTTGGTTATCAATGTTTTATTGGTTTTATCGATTTTGTTAGCTAATCGTTAAATAATCGATACCAAATCGATGACTTAATTGTTAACAAAACCAATAACAAGATTGATAACAAAATCGATAAAAATATCGATTATTATATCGAACATTCCCAAAATATCCATAGCTAAATCGATTAAAATTCCGATAAAAATATCAATAAAAAAGCAAAAAAAAATATCGATTATTATATCGATAAGTCGCGAGAACCCCAAAGATCTTTAAAAGTCCAAAAAAACTCCTAGGTTGAGTCTCTGTGTCTCTATCTATATCCTTTTCTCTATATTTACCTCTATTTTAATCTTTCTTCCCCTTTCTTCATCTTTACTTTTCGCGGTATCCTCATCTTGATCATTTTTTTATATTTATATTTGCTTTTACTTTTGAGTTTATAATTTTCTTCATCTACATATTCCCCTTCACCTTTGCCCTTATATAAGTAAAGCGTTTAAATTTACCTAGGTCGTTATTTTCGCCTTTATCTTTATGCATCTTTGTTTTTGTTTTTATTTTTACATTTGCCTTTATCCTTTTCTTTATATACATATGTACGTACCCACCTTTACTTTCATTCTTGTATTGGTCTTTTTTAATTGATATTCTTTAACCTTTTATTAGCAAGTTTTTGTTAAATTATTACCATGTGCAAACACTTAAGAAGCCCCAACCATTTCCGTTGCAAAATTTCCGTTGAGTTTGCCAATTTACTCCCAACCACCCGACCGCCGCTAAAGAAGTTTTACTTCAAAAAGGGTAACCATGGCTTACTCATAGATAGACTTCTTTCGCAAATATCGAACTATTTTCCGCAGTCTGTAGATTTAAATCCCTTAACTAAATTTTTTTTTTGCAGTTATTTTCGCAGTTTTTTTTTCTTCTTAAATCGATGAGTAAAAATTTGTGTTCTACAAACCAGCTGCATTGCGCTCTAAATAAATGTTAACTGCATTTCCAAGCGCACAAGAACGGAAAAGCACAAATGGTTTTGCAAAACAATCGATGTAATTGCCCAAATACACGAACATGCAGATAATTGTATGATTTTAAATGTTCTTTCCGCTTCAAGCATTTATTTTACCAATTTTCCTCACTTTTCCTTTTCTCTGTACTTTGTTGCAGGCCCACACGCCACAGCCCAACCAGAGCAATGCCAAAAACAACAGCAACAATGAAAATGGCTGTGAACATAGCAATATCAGTGGTAATAGCACAACCCGACCGCCTGAGGGTGAAAAGCATGGAGTTGCAACTGTAACAGCGACGGCGACAGCGAGAGCGCATTCACCAGATAGTTGCGCTAATAATGGCAAAAACAACAATGAAGGCAACGAAGAACACTTGGCCGAAGTGCTGGTTTTGCCAGTGAATGACACAAAAACTATTGCAACAACAACAACAACAATGATTGAAGCACCAACTGTGGAGGCGGCTGCGAAAACAAGCGCGCGCACAGCTGATATTGAAAGAGGCAACGCTTGTGTGGTTGGTGGCAGAAACAGCTGTGGCAAGGCAAGTTTGACAAATGAGGCCAATACACCGGCGCGCAGAGGTAGCGCAACAGCACCCATTGCGCGTGAAGAAGAAGACGCCGAAGAAGTATGGACGTCGGAGAGTGAGGATGGTAAAGATGTGGAGTTGGCCGGAAAGCAAGCAGTGGCGCAAAATTGCTGTTTAGTGAATGAGATCGAGAAGAGTGGTGGCCAATTTGATACAAATTCGTACATAAATTCAAATAAAATGCCAGCAGTCAGTGCCACGCTGGCGGTGACTGTCACACTTACATCGACTACGGTGACAGAGGCGGGCACGGCTGAGAAATCGGTGCAGCGCAGCAAATCGCGAGTGCGCACTTATTTGAAAAAGTGCAGAGATCGGCTGACGGGTCAGCATCAACACAGCGCGGGCACAGCAGCACACTCGATGATGAGCGAGCCAAATGGCACGCAGGGCATTCAAGCAACAGCAAACACCGCTATGCATTTGAAAGATGAAAAGTCCGAAGCAACGGCGGTCGCAGAAGTGTTAAAAGCTGCGCCCAAACGAAATTCCAGCCAACGCCATGCTCTAGAGGAAGATGAAGGGGAGGGGGAGAAGGAGAAGGAGGAGGAGAAGGAACCGCCATGTACTTGTGCATTAATTGCCACAATTGAGTGGCAGGACGATGAGTTAGCGCGCACACTATTACCATTGAGTGAGGAATCAGAAGAGGAGCGCACCGCGGCCGAGGAGGCTGAAGCAGAAGAAGAAGCGCACTCCACTAGCGAGCTAACGGAGCTGGTTTACGAGGATATTGACTTTAGCCTGACGTCAGTGTTGATGGACAGCAGCAGTTCGAATGTCAGTGTCGACCAGCACCAATCGACACCATTGACCTCTGTACATAGCCGAGACGCCCTAACATTGAGTGCTGCTGCTGCTGCTGACGTTGATGACTCTGGCGATTCGGCTGTCGAAGGCGAGACAAGGCGACGGCAAATCATAGAGGAAAAAGAAAAAGACGAATCTTGCCAGCAACAACAACGTCAAATGCTTATGCCCAACTACAACAGCTGTCCGCCACTTGTCAAGGAGGCACAATTGGCGCACGCCACACGAATGGTAAGCAATAGCAGGCGAGCAGTTAAACCACCCGCCCATTGCACTTAGACGGCCTTTGTGCCTTACCACATTTTACACTATGAACCTTTCGCATTTACGTCTGACTCAATTGTTAGCTCATCACAGAAACAAAAACAAAAAAAACACACTTCTTTCCTTAGCTATTTCCTTACACTAACTACTAAAGTTTATCTAATTTTTACTTCATTTTATTTTTATTTTATTTTTTACTTTGATTGACTCGCGCAGGACTCTGGCACCGCTGAACTCATAGATAAACACCTCGCCGCTATTTATCCTGTCTATATGGCGTGCACGCGTGCAATTCTAATTCGTCAGGCACGTGATTTGCTCGTGAGTTCCTATTCTGCTTGCCTGCAGTCGTTCGAAATGAAATTCTTATGCAAATTTGCTGAAATTGCTGCAGATTTGAGCCAAAGGCACGCCATCGGTGAGGTAAGTGATGCCGAGATTTCTATTTAAATATGTATATGTATATATTTGTATGAAGCAAAGCTTAGCAGATATGTACCTATGTTGGAGTTCTTGAATTGTTCATTCCTTAAGTTAAATAATTGACATAACAGCGGCTGTGATTAGGTAATTTATCTAAATAAGCAATAATGGGAGGTGTAGAATGTTCAAAAATTATATTTAATTTTAAATTATTTAATGAAAATATTCTTGTACTTGTATACATAGATGCATATATATTAAGGTGCATAACTCGCCATATAAAAAAAAAAATCTGTACTTTTTTCCATAGAAATTTTAAAATTTACTATATTTCGTTAGCAAAAAAATTATCAAAAATTAACTGCAGTTAATTAAAATTTTTTCAATCTAAAATGATTTTACTCAAAACATTAAGTACCTATGTTTGTAAATACTATGTACATACTAGGGATAGTAATTTTTTCGCTTTTTACGACTTCGGGATTTTCGCGATGTCATTATCACAATCTCGGGATTCCAGGATCAGTCCCGGGATTTAGATATTCATTACTTTTCAACAACTTAAATGAAAAAATTGCTTCTATATTGCTTAAGAAGCTCTCCTACAATAAACTAAATAATAAATAAATGGGCTTGAAACCTACTTTTTTTATTTAAAGTGGCATTTTTATTTTTTCTCTCTGACGTCAGCATTTATTTTAAAGGACTTTTTAATTTTAAATATATGATTAATTCCAAAAATTATTTAAAAAATTCAATGCAATGTAGAATAAAAATATGAGGAAATTTCTTTAGAATTTAAAAAAATTAAAATTTTTTGGATTCACAAGGACGAATATTTAATTTTTTAAGCTGATAAAGTTAGAAGGATGAAATTCGAGGATGTGATAGAGTTTATATTAGTCCTTAACATATAATTTTTCCAAAAAAAATATTGCGAAATTTCAAGGAAAAAATTTCAAAAGGACATTTTCAATACTTACCACCAAATGCACAAAAAAATTGGATCTGTTTAAATTCTACAGAATTTTCTATTTAATTTGATACCCACACTTCTCTCTAAGCACATTTCACTGAATTTTTTAAATAACTTTGAATTACTGACGTCTGAGTGAAAAACTAAAAACGCAAATTTGCTATATTTGGTCCACGGTTTCGCGAATATATTAAGTTTTGTGTGGAAAATTTACTATCGCGCGGGTTATATGTATAATGACTTTAGTATAAACTTTATGTACGCAGGTATGAAAAAAACTCGTAACTTCCACAGTTTTGGTGTTTCCATTCTCAAATTTTTACAGCTTACTCTATAAAGTTTGACAACTATGCAGTTGAAAAAGATAAAAATCAAACGTGATGAAGTTAATAAAAAAAATTATAATAAAAAATAAAAATAAAAATTGCGATTTTTTAATGCAGGAATTGTTTTTCGAGACTTTCGAATATCATGACGAAACAAAAAAAATAGGTGTCTTCTTTTAAAAAAAGATATTTCACCCCAAAAAAATATTAAGATGTAAATATTGTATGGAATGACCCATATACTATATTTATATGAATACGTATACAATATATTATCTACAGCCCTTTTTAATTGCACATTTCTAAGTTAATTATCTTAACGGAAATACATATGTACATAAATATTGTATTCTTAAATATACATTTTGCAGTAGAAAATATGTACATGAATATGGCAACACAAACATACATACATTTATTTGCTGGCCCGCTTTGTTTATTCATCCAGTAATACTCTCAACCTTCCGCTTGCCAATTTGCACGCTTTAATGTTAAATGATATGATTAACAATCATTAACAAGTAGACAACTACTGCAACTGGAACAACATTCAACTAAAGATGTAGTATGTATGTATCTTGTACGTATTTTCATATACGATTTATTCGTCTAAGCGCGCCTTGCCCATAATTAAATACTTGGCCGCACCATTCATTATTTCAGTCTGCACAACACCCCTACATACAGACGGTATATACATAAAAGCATATACTTAGTCAATAACTTAACAGCGCCAACTAGCAGCTGCATTGCTGTTAAACGACTAGTCGAAAATGTGACCAGAGCAGATAATTTGTGATAATGGTGGAGTTCAAATTTTATGGCGTGGCCGTTTAAGAAATTTAGTGGTGGCAGCCACAATACCGTCTAGTGGTGACTTCTGGCCCAGCGTGGTGTATTCCGTCGACAACTACTTCAAATTTCTGGCGAGAAAAATTCCATACTAGAAGTGTGCCTTCTCATTTATATACGTTCGCTGCTTTTAGGAAGTCGTCGAAAAACTGGTCGAAAAAATTAAAACAAATGTTAAGCTCAACAGCGTGATAACAGCTTACTAACAGCATGCTAACAGCGTACTAACAGAGTGATAACAGTGTATTCACCAACACACCAGATGTATTGTGGTAATGCTGGTTTTCTATGCGCGATTGTATGCGCAACATGGGATGTAAAGAAACAAAAGTGAAGCAGGGTTGCCGTCGTGTCATGCAGATAACAAAGTGGTGCCGCTTTTTACTACACTTTTGTGAGTAAATATAAAAAAAATCAAAGGCTTTGTTGTAGTTTAATGGCGCAACGACACAAGCTGTAATTTAATTTTTGAAAAAAATGAGAGAAGAAAAATTACATTCGCTCCCAAAGGGGTAATTCTTCGTCATCAACAACACTGTTTCGCTGCTGCCGTTCTGCACATAATACGTATTGTTTGTATATCGTCATGTGCGCAATGTGTAGCCACGTTTGTGGCACGAGATGCCGGCGTTTGCAGCTGCTGCTGTTGCCCGTGACTTCGTCTGTTTGTTTGCTGGCTGGCCGGCCCCAGCTCTGTTGTTTACTTGTTTTTCTCAGCGTCAGCGGTGGCTGCCGTGGCTGCTGTTGCTTTTCAGTTAGTTGGTTACTGCAGTTTGTGTCACTCAATGTTGAGGCAATCGAATGCCAACTAGCGACGGTCGTGGACGCGTTTAACGGACGAAATAAAAATTTTCAACGTCTCGTCGAGTAGTGCGAGTGACTTGGAAGTTTTTGTTTTTTTTTTTTTTTGTTTGTAAATGCAGCAGCAGTAAAGCAAAGCATACATATATACATAAATACAGTACCTAAGAGATAAATTTGTTTTCGTTTGTGAAACAAAGTGCCTTCATAGTTTGTATTGTATTTAACTGAGTGTTTTATTGGTGCCTTAGTGTAAAAAAAAATAAACACAACTTAATCAGTGAATTTGAAAAACTTTTTATAAACGTGATTTTTGCTCGATTAAACAATTTAATTAAAGTCAAAATTTTGTCTGATAAAAATTGTGGAGTGAGAGTAAATATTTATAAAAACATCTAAATACCTATTTTTGTACGATGAATCGCAAAAAAACTGAAATAAAAAAGAATATACGTTTTCTTTGGATGACAGTTCATAAAATTTAATAAAAATCTACTTTTTTTTTTGCCTAATTAAATTAAAATTTTTCTAAGCTCAGAAAATTACAAAAACACAAACATATCTCTGATATTCTGCTATGCGTGTACAACTCATAAATGATTCAATCCGATTTTAATGTGACATAACTCGAAAATTAATTAAAATTAGTAAACACAAGTGCCTATCGAAGTGAATTCAAAGCGAAAACTTATCGAATTTTGAACACAAAAATAGTGCGTGCGCACGCTTCAAAATTATATATGAAGATTAAAGATTGACACAAAAAAGTGAAAAATTGTTTTTCAATAAAAAAAACTCCAACGCTGAACAATATGCATAAATAAATATTAAAACATAAGAAAGGGTTATATGTGGTGAAAAAAATTTAATTACTTTGGAGTTTTTCATAAACAAAAGGCAGTGAATGCAAAAATTATAACTATTGTGTGATCAAGTGTAAAAAAGTGAAAAATACTGGGATTTTTTTTCGGAGAGTGGTGGCAGAAAACGACTAAAGCAAAACAAAGATATATCAAAACTTTTTTTAAAGGTAAAATGTTTATTTATTCTAAAAAAATGTTATAAGTTATTTAAGAAAATTTTTGTTGTTTTAGGAAATGTGATTTGTTGGCTTTCAGCCCTAGCAACAAATAGGAACGTGTATCAAATAATACATATAACAATGCACTAGAACTAAATTTAATTACAAAATTAAATGTATGAACTAAAATAATATAAAAAATTCATAAAATAAAAATAAATTAAAAAAATTAAAAACGCATTACATTAAAAAGAATAAAATGAAATAAAATGGAATATATTTAAATTTAAATAAAAAAATTAATTATATTCAACAATTTTATTCAGCTTGAGGCCGACTTAATGAAAACTATTGCGGGGAAAAATAAATTAGAACAAAATAAAGTAACATAAAATAAAATAAAATTAACGGAAATATATAAAAAAATATAAAATATTAATATAAAATAAAAAAATAAAAAAGATAAAAGAAAAATAATAATTTAGAATATAACAAGCTAAAATTAAGAAAAAATAAATAAATTAAATAGTATAAGGTAAAGTAAAGTGATATAAAACAAATTAAAAATATGTAATAAAATAAATGAAACAAAATAAAATTAAAAATATAATAAAATTTAATAAAATAAAACTAAAATTAAGTATGCAAAAAGTAAAATAAATACAATACAAAAAAAATATGAAATAGAATAAAACGAGATGAAATAAAATATAATATAAAATGAAATGAAATAAAATA